TATTTTTTTTCATTATTTTTTTTTTTTGTAGGGAGTCGGCTTGAACACGAAACCGGACTTTAAGGTGAGAAATGGGAAAGGGGGGAGAAGGAGGAATTTTTTATTTTAAATTTAAGAAACGATTAACATTTCTTTTTCATTGCTTTTTTTTATAGGACGTTGGCTTGGACACAAACTGGACTTTAAGGTAAAAAATAGGGAAAGGGGGAAGGAGGAAGAGGATTTTTATTTAAATATAGGAACGAACTAAAATAAATTAAAAAAAGTTTCAAATTTTCGAATTGAAACTTACCAGACCATAGTCCCAAAGCCTAAGAAACTGACACCTACAAAAAAAAAAGAAAATTAAATTAAAAAAAAAACAAAAATTTTTATTAAAAAAAATTTCGAACCATTGAGCCCATGCGTTCGAAGACCTTGAAGAACCAGCAGCCTACAAAAAGAAGAAAAACGGAATGTTATACGTTTCGTTAAAAGTATTATTTACAAAAAATCAAAAACTTCCTTACCGAATTTCCCTCCTTATAGTTTAAGCTGGCGTTCTACAAAAAAATACAAAAAGAAACATTAATCTCTCTTTTTTTTTGTAGGTATCAGTTCTTTGGCTTTAGGACTTGGATATGCTGATATGGTAAGTTTCTATTCGAAACTTATCTGTAATAATATTTTTAATTTGTTTTTTCATTAAAAATTTTGTCTTTTTTTTTGTAGGAATCCGGTTCTTTTGGCGATGGAAACTGAAAAATTGACGAACAAACCATTTGCAACTCAGCTCGTAAAAGTAAATCTGCAACAGTGAAACCAGTTACAACTATAAGCAAATAACAGATATTTTCAACTCAAAACATCTTACCGACCAAACTTTAATTGATCACAATATTCCCTCTCTTTGAGATTATTAATAACCCTATTCCTTTACCTTCTAATCCGTCAACTTTACGTGATCAAACATCACCAGCTACCAATAATATTATAAATAATTCCAATCCCGATCTCCCGTTTCAAGATCACAATCATTTAACACAAAATTTTAATGCAAGCATACCCAACACCCTAGATAATGAATAAATTTTTAACCAATATTAATATTATCAACCAAAATATTTCAAAATAGGTGCGATCAATATTTACACGCAATTTCGATATCTTGGGAATATCCGAAATGGGATACGCATCACCTCATCAACAAAAAATATTGAAAAAAACACAACACCCAACAACGCTTTTATCATCAATTTACAATATTTACGATGCAAATGGATCCAACAATAGCTTTTATAATTACTAGCCTTTATCAACATATACATACATAGTATATCATATTTTCATGGAACATCATCTTAGGTTTTAAAGGCAATAAATCACTAAACACCACATGTTGTTATTTACCCGTTAATCAAAAAGATACAGAAATGAAAAAATCCGTGCAAACGAAATCAATCGCATTCTAAACACTTTTATACACAACACATACGACTATACAATCTCTAACATCAAATCAAAAGTTAGATTTAGCGAAATATCACGCTCTAGATTCACAACCAGATATCACACATATCAAAAAACCGTATCAATTATCATTTCTCTAATCAACTACCTATTCCACACATAATACAGTCAATACCACAAAGTTTCTTCTATACAGATTATAAAATTGTTATCACATTAATAGATCGTTCATTTTTTGACAAAAAATTAAACAAGAAATTTTCTAAATACAACAAAGGTACCTTTCAAAATAAGAAACAATCCTATTCACCTGACTACAACAAAATGACTGATACTTTATGAGAGGAATACAAGAACAGATCAAACAGTTTGTTCAAAAGAAACTTTAAATTTATCAACAAACCTAATTAATAATTTTCAACAACTTAATCACGCTTGGAATATTTTTCAACACACTTTAATTACACTCCAAGAAAAACCCACCATTTGTTAATTTATGATGACTCTTTCGATTTTTTTACCTCTGTTTATATAATATATTAAATACGCACAGTATACTGTAAATATTTAAATATACACGATTGACGTAATGAATGATGTGGCGTACCAAGAGTATTTTGCCACGTTTCTATATTGTGCCACGTTTAAAAATAAAACACTCCAATTTTTGATGACGTTAATCTGAAAATCTTATATACAACAAAAGAATTTTTTTATCCAGATACAATATCATAGTATTTTTATGTAATAGTTAATTTTTTCTTTGTAACTTTATTTTAATGTACAAACTTGAGCTTCATTTCAAAATATTCATTTTTGGATGGATTAATAAATAAATTCAAACATATTAAATTACATATTTTATTGCAAAAAAATTTAATATAAAAACTTATTTATATAACGTTACAAGGAACTCGTTTTTTTAATGCAACAAACCAGAGTCACGTTTACGTAATGCATGACGTTTAGCTGCTGCACAAGAAAAAATGATGTTTGTTATACATTATTCACATGTAAAGATATTAATGTTTATTGAAATAATTACCTTCTCGTTTTACAGGTCTTAAAGCTATTACATTATTTATAAAAAAGATTTTAATATTTGATTAATATTAACGTCAATAAAAAAAAAAAAAGTAAAATTAAGTAAATAACTGTATATTACCCGCTGAAACAATAATAAAGGTAAAGATTAATAACAAATATTTTAAATGCATGGTTCCAAAAATTTTTTGATTTTTATGTGATAAATATTTTTTTGATTCGTTGTTCTTGAATTTGTTCAAAAAAATTTTTTTTTCTCTTCATCAAGTCATTTATATAAGATAATTGTTTAATAATTTTGATAACACGTACTTCAAATTACTTTTTTTATTTATAATTGCATCATTTGAAAGCCATATAATTACTAATTAAGGTTAGAGCTTGTTTAAAGAATTTTAATTTGCTATGTTCAAATAGTCTGAGTTTAACTGGTTAAATGACCGGTTATTAGCAGCCGGGTAAGCCATTAAGATTTTGGGGCTGATTTCAATTATAGTTTAAAGCGAAGTGAGTATGGTTGCCACGGTTTTCTACACAGCCCAAAATTGGGATAATCTGTGCCACTCTCAATTAACATATTGAACGCTAATATTCTGGTAAGATGAAAAAATTATATTATATTAACAATGAATATACTTCATATTAATTGACTTCAAAATAATAAATTATTTTGTTATTGTATTGTGACTCCTCTTTTTACCTTCCTATAGGTTGCTTATACAAGATTATTTGTTAATACCTGGCTTGTATAGTTGTACTAGTATTTACAGTTTTTTTTCAATTATTTAATAACCTAAAGAGAAAGTAAATCTTTCACTAATATCCGAGAATTTTAATATTTTCATAAAGTTAAAAATTAACCCCACAATAAAAGAGTATTAATGTTGATATATTAATAAAAAAATTTACTTGTCTTGAAATACTTCTGAATAATAGTTAAACTCTCGATTATAGTTCGTATTTCTTTGATTATAGATTTCTTGTACTAAAAGATCATGATCATTGGCTTAAATTTTGATCCAATTCCAACGACCAGCAAGATTTTTCTTTTTTAACTTTATATCGCTTTCAGAAACAGCCTGTCAAATATTCCCATATCTTTTCTGCGCATTTCATGTGATTAGTCCAAATGACGAAGTTTTCGCCCTCTATGCTTTCACATTTACTATTGGGATTCCATGATGAAGTTCATCAGAACCCCATTCACCCTTTACTATAGTTTTTTCTTTATGATCTCTATTGTATATAGGACAGAGCGCTGAACTATTAAGGCTAAATCTGTCACTACGTTCATCACTTTCCTTATAAATAGATAAGGAAAACGCTCTAGCACCAACCCAATGATATGCTTTCGTTTTTCTTCTAGATCTTCAGGATTTGTTGACCGTAGAAATTTCGGTCACATGATATTGTTCCTGACCAATGGTCAGGATATCACGTGCTTTTCCGCTACTCGATTTAATAATATTTATGATTTGAGCATCACTTAATTCTGATATATTTCTTACTCCATACGAAATTCCATAAACTTTATCGATACCGATCCCCATAACTTCCTTTTTGGTTTCGGGATCGATAATCTTTTTAAATAGCTTATAAACACTTCCAGCTCTTTGGGTCTTCTTATACAGATTTGATTCTGAAATCTTAGGTAAAGAAGATTTAATCATGGTGTAAACTTGAGACTTTGCAGTTTTTCGGCTACACCAGAAATTTCTGCAACATTATTTTCGTATGATTCTCTATAAGTATACCAGCATACATTTTTCTTTTTGTTTAGCTTTTATCGTTTTGCCTTCTGCATCTTCAGCATCAGAAATTAATTGTCGGCCTTCCCCATCAGCTACTACATTATTGAACTTGGAAGTGTTAACTGATGAAGCAAGTGCTTCTTTTTGAATTTCGGATAATAGGTAGAGGAGAGTTTTCCTGAAATGAACTATGTGATGCTGGAGGGAGACAAAGATTCAGCATCTTGCGACTAAGTATGATCAGAGGCTATAGGGGTCATAATTTCTAGTGCAACTTTAGATGTTGAAGGAGTTGTGTAGCAATCAGATAAGTCTTGAGGTTGATTTTTAGCTGACTCACTCTGAAGTTTCTTCTCCCTATTCCTCCGCCTTATATTATCACTAACACTTTTCTTGTTCACCTCATCTAAGAAAGAATCTGCCTTTCTATCCTCTGATGACTTGGAAGTTGGAGCTAGCAGGTATCGGGTTATCTATGGATAACGCACTTCTGGTACCACTTCATTGACTTCGTGATCAGGCTTACATTGCTCTAACTTGACTACTGCAGAGTCGGGTATATCAACTGTCCTTTGCATCCGCCCGTAATCATTCTCAGTATAAGAATCTGCTTTATATTTTCTAGTTCCTCGATTCTGGCCTTAAGCTCGGAATTCTCTTCCATGGCCTGCTCAACTTCAAATTCTCAACCTCGATCTCAGCAACCTTCCAAGTTCAGGAATAGCATTCCTGGCCTCGAGCTCAGCTTTCTCTGCCCTAATCCCAATGTACTTAGCCTCAAGCTCGGTGAAATGTTGCCTCAATAAATCTATTTCGGATTGCATACCTGCTAATATAATATTATTTATGCTCTGTATGTTGATATTCAAAATTGAAAAATTCACGCGACATCCTGACCAATGGTCTGCAGCTTTTGCCAAGAAAAGTTTTTATTAATACATGCAAAAATAAATACAAAGGATCGGGACATAGCCCGTGATACATGGTTGTTCTATGCTTAATAAAGCTACCTATGCCTGTTTGCTAAAGCTACTCTAAATCCTTGGTACTAGAGGTACCTTTTTCCGCGAGATTGCCTGTTGACCTTACCTTTTTGATTTCCTGCTCACCGCCTAAGTTAACAGCTGAGTCCGCCTTTTGTGCCTCCTCTAATAACCATGTAATATGCCCGAGGACTCTATCAACGTTATCTTACTATCATATACAACGGTTACCAGCTTTGATAGTTTGAATCTTAGCCTGTTCTGGTCATCGAGCGAATATTCCATAAAATACCATTTTTCCGTATTTGTAACAATTCCATAAGTCTTACCCGTAAACAAATCTTCTTCCTCCATCTCGTTTGCCTTATATTTACGATTTGATAGAGCAGATTCAGGTTGTACAGCATTCTGAGCAATGCCCTTATAAAAATCTTCGTCCTTTACCTGACGCGCCTCCAGTTCGGCTATAAGATGTTTAAGTAATGCCGGGAAGAATCGTCTTTTAGTTCTTTATGCTCGCGAGTGAAAGGCGGGAACACTGATAATGAAGGATCGTTTGATTCGCCAAGACTATAAAGCTGGCACACCTTTGGGAACGACTGAGTATTTCTATGAACACGGTGAACTTCAGATTATTTTTTGACACAAACAGCTGGGGCATTTCACGAAGGTCTTGATCAATACGAGGAGTATTTTCCGCTGTCGTTTAACATGTTGAGGACCGGCCCATCATTTTCAAGTGCCGGTGTCTGATACATAGCACGTATTGAACTTTTTTGTCCTTCGAGAGTTGCGTGCTCGATATTCACTGTCCATTTGAAAACCTTCGTCCGTTTCGGGCTAACGACGACATCGAAGTCTGCAATCCGAATGGCCGGTTAGAAAAATTCTCACAAAGTATCTTTTATTCTTTTCACACTAATTTTTACATACCATAGACGGACTTGTTGAGTAATGCCTTCAACGAGGTAAGTTCGTTAAGTAATTCCCCGTTCACAGCTCGAAGTGGCGGTTGACACGGGCGCTTCGACTAGGCATGAATACATTCTTCGGCTGATGAATCAGAGAAGTATTTCGAAATCTTTTTCGTTGCTAGGAGTTTGTCTTGGAGTGTGAGGTTGCCTAAGAGATCGTCGCGTTCGTCAGAGATTTTCACTTTCCGCTTGTCTGCGTCTACACCAGCAAAGTCATTTTGTTTTTTCGCCTTTATAATCTCCTTGAGGTCACTAATAGTCTCGTCCCTACTAATTTTAACAGAGAAAGCATTCGCGGTTTGACGAGACAGAGTAAACAGAATAAAGTGATAGACATGTTTTTCGGCTTATATAGTATTTTTTGCGAAATTTTATTGGTGCAAACTAGCGTATGTGAGGACAAGTGTAAAAAAGAATTTTATTTGCGAAAAATACCAAAGCCTGGTATATGTGAGAAAATGAGCGTTTCACAGGCCTGCTGTGTGATTCATTAATTTTAATTTTTTTAATTTTGTAGCACAATGCGGGTGAAAATGGCGCATTATTACACGTGACTTTTAACGATGATATCAATATTTTATTATTATATACGAACTATTACAATAAATATAGATCGCTTACATAATGCAATGAGAAAAATATATTATTCAATGACTGTTAATGCTTGTTGTTTTTGATTTTCAATACGGAAATAACGTCCAGCGTAATTCCATAACTATACATCCAAAGTATAAAATAACTAACTGCTCTATGAAAAACATATAAATAAAAATGTATATTATCAGCACAAAAACTAGACCGCGTTACTCTGTAGTACCAGCAAAATCAGAAACCAAAATTGGCATATGCACAGGCATGGATTTCTGGATTATATGGATCATTGGTTTTATCTGCAATTAATACTGAAATCGAGTATGCACTAGGAAGTTGTGGTGTCGGAACATCTGGTACATCAATTGAAAATGGAGCTGCGCTCGCATAATAAAAATCCAAAACCTTAAAATAAATATCACCTATGGTATAATGGTTCGGATCAGTATACACAATTATAATTTCGGTTTTATTAGGAGTGATTTCATAATCCAACATTGCTCCTTCAACTGTATAATCATCGGATTGATTAGAAACAGGAGGGAAAGGCTTAAGGTTTGCATAGATGTAAGATCTGTCGGGATTTGGTGAACATGACAAATATATGTCTTTCCCTCTTTTAAGAAGTTGATATGGAACGGCATTGACCATGGTAAGTGCAGCCAATAAAAGGAATGCAAATATCAAATTTTGGTTCATGATTACTTTGTGAAGAAGATAGTTTGAAAAATATCTGCTGGGTTGAATTATTTCTTTTGTAATTATTAATTATTAAATGTGTTTAAGCTTCAGAGTTGCTACTTTCTTTTTATAAGAAAAATACCAGACTCCTGGATTTCGTATTTCTTCCTTTTTAAACATTTAATACTCCGTTCCTACAGTCCCCGGCGAAAAGAATGGCGGTGCGAGTATCATTTGTTATTTTGGATATGAGATCAGAATTTTCCTATTTAAATTAAAACTTGTAAATGCCCAATGGATTTTTAGAATACTATTTTAAAAAGCAATAAAAAAAAAATAAAAATTTATTATTGTTTTTACACCTATTTTACCTTCTAAAAAACCAAGAAGTTATAAATTTAATAGAAATCGGAGCATAATAATTTGCTATGAATTTTTTTAAAATGCTCAAAATCCTACATAATAATAAATTCCAATTTTTTTTTAAAAAAAACCACTTACTTTTAACTGCCAAATATTATAATTGCATTTAGTTATATCACATTATCACAGAGAAATACTACTAATAATTTTTTGAATTTGGTATGAAAGTTTGAAATAAAAAGTTTAAACTTCATTTTCTCATCAACCAAAGCTTGTATTGAAACAAAATTTCAACTATTAGATTTCTTGCAATTACGAGATTTAAATAATGGTCTTTTATTATATTATTGAGCTTTTATATTGCTTTTAGAAATGATTATCTTTATACAACATAAAAATTCATAATACTCACTATTATACTTGAACTATCACATTACACAGATGCTACACAGTAATTTTGAGACCACCATTCGAACCACATAGTCAAGAGGAATCCAATGGTGGTAAATTTGTCTCAATCTGACCTCTGGATGGCGAGAAAGTTAAGAAAATATTAAAATATCATAACAAAATAACGCTGGTTAAGAGTGCGAATAGTATGCAATAATAAATTAAAGCATTTATTGACACGGGAAGATGATCATATCAAATGTTATTTAAATAATGAAATATATGTATTTTCTGTTCCTCTTTCAGAAAATAAAAAAATATTTCACATTTTACTATAGATTACATTCGTGATATCAAAAAAACTGACCGCCATTCTTTTCGCCGGGGTCTGTATTTAATAATTCAATGTTCATACTAAATTAAAAATATGGATCGATCAACCCGGGGTGATAAATGGATTAACCTATTGATTTCCACCGATTGTATAATCTCTCCAGTTGATGAACATGTACAAACAGTACCCGCTGGATTTCCTTGGATGTCTACGAAATAAACCATTGCTACATCATTCGTCATTTTTTCAGTTTTTATATGGAGGTCATTACCGAAATCCTTCGTCTGTGGACTGTTTTTTCCATACGAAAAAAGTACCTGTTTTCTTTGCATTATAGAAGAATCGATAGATGGGCCTTCTATAAACATTATGTTATTATTCCATTTGAAAATTTGATTTAAATTTAACTATTAATACACACCTCTCCCTCAAAAATATTTTTTTTCGGGACAACCTATCTCAGAAATATTAAAAGTTTTTTTTGGCAAAACTTCTTGGGTATTCTGCCCCTCCTGAAAAGCGTAGCTTTGAAGGGGAAAGGCACATGCTCCTACATGCTTTTTTTCTCAATAGATTCGAAAAAAGATTAACAATAATATAGCTTTATATGCCCTTTAAAAAAGGAATGAGTTAAATTTGTTTAATATTTGTGTTCATGTATAATAAATGTCTAAAAAAGTACCGTTTTGTTTAATTTTTGTTTTTTTTTGTAATAAGACATAAAATGTGCTTTTTTAGACTTTTTACGCATGATCACAAATTACTTACTTTGCTAACAAAATTTTTTAACCCTATAAAAATGAAATGTGTTAAATTCGTTTTATATTTGTGTTCATGTGTAAAAAAACGTCTAATTTTGTCCGATTTATGTCTATTACAAAAAAAAAACAAAAATTAAACAAAATGGTACTTTTTTAGACATTTATTACACATGAACACATATATTAAACAAATTTAACTCATTTCGTTTTTATTGGGTATAAATGTATTGTAAAATTAATATTACAGTACATTATATACAAACCATGTTAAGATGCTCGTAAGGATATCGTACAATAGTTATATAACATTTTATAATTTATTGATATGTAGTAAGACTAATTGCAAAATGTATAATAAAAATTTTGTAAAATTAATTGTAAATTTGATATTACAAATAAATAAATAGATTAATATTGAACATTTATTATAAACCGATTTGTACAAAGACTTTTATACATGCATTGTAAATTTAAATAGTAATAAATTGTGTATTTTATAGTTGGATGGGGTCTTTGCTTATTCACCGACCGTCATTTCACCAACCCATCATTTCACCGACCATCATTTCACCGACAAACATTTCACCGACATCATTTCATCAATCTGAATCCACTTACTTTTTTTACCTAACCCTAACTCTAATCCTAAATTCCCTTGTCAGTAAGATGATTGACAGCGAAACATTTATCTGCGAAATGACCCTGTTGGTGAAACGTCTGTCGGTGAGATAATTGTCAGTGAAATGATTGTTGGTGAAATGAATGCGACCCGTTGGATTGGAATAAGGCTTAAGAACATTTTGCCGAAAATGTTAATGACTAACATATTATCTTAATTAGATACAAAGAAAATAAAACATGTTCAAAGAACAATTACTCTTTAAACTGTTTATTTTCATTTGTTTCAGAAAATTGGTGAGTATGATGAATTTGTCATTTCCTTTTTGACCGAACCACCCTTTGAGACCCTTTGTGGGATGCATCCAAAATATCAAAACTCGAAATCCTGAAAGTACATTATCCCGAGTCCCGATACTCTAAATCTGAAATGTCAAAATCCCGACTTGTCTAATCCTGAATAGTCAAAATCCCAAATACCGAATTGCTATAATCCCGACACCTCATAATACAAGATTTTCATTTCGGTATTTTGAATTTCGAGCTTATGAAGTGTCAGGCTTATGAAATGTTGGGATTATGGCAATTCGGGATCATTTTGATGGGTTACACCACGATTTCCCGACAACCTTTTTTCCGACATACCCTTTGCCCGACAACGATCACCCGACAAGACATATTCCCGAATGTATATTTTACCGACATGACACATTCCCTAATGGACATTATACCGACATGTTAGTTCCCGACAGACATTTTCTCGACATGACATATACATTAAAAAAAGCGATTTCCCGAATTTCCCAATTATTTAAAATAAAACATATGGAGAAAATTTTTTTATTTGTTTATTCATATATTTATTTTAGTAAAAATTCGCAATTTCATGTACACTATATATTTCATTTTAATAGTGCAAATTTTTAATAAAATAACTTGCAGCAACCCGTTGTGTCCCTACAAAAATTTATTTTAGTTGCATTTATTTATTTCCAGTTATTTTTTTAACAACTTTTTAAAAAAGAATTTGCCATAAGACAATTGTCTTATTAAATATATCCATGTCTTATAAAGTACAACGGTTTAAGAA